CACCAAAATAAATAATGATTACAGATTATAACTCATTAAATAAAATAGGAACCCATGAGTTCACACATACTAAAAAAATAAATGGGAAGAATAAGTGATCCCTTACAGTAAAAATGTCAAATAATAAATGTAAAAGCAATGACAGAATTAGAATATTGGCAAGCATCATAGTAGTAATATAGAGAAGAAATATCAATGAACACTCAAACTAGTAGGTGAAAATGGAAGGAGATAGTTACATAATCTCAAAACAGCGCCGACAAAATATTAATCACAAAAAGAAAATATGTAATAACTTTATACTGGAGAATCTTTATAGACACTTGAATCAAAGGAATCACCTCCAACAATGGACAAACATACATTATGTGCACCTGATAAGATGCTGTAAGAAAAACATGTATCACACCTGTGATACTTGTGCCTCAAATGCACAACCAGGTCTCACCACAAGCAAACACCAGACAAACTCAAACTGAGAGATATTCTACAAAATGATTGGCCTGTAGTCCTCAAAGATATAAAAATCCTGAAACTCAAGGAAAAACTAAGGTAATGTTTCAGTTTGAAGAAGGCAGTGCACACAAAACTGGGTATGATACACGATTCCTGACTGGATCCTTTTGCTGAGGATGACATTATTGGAGCAACTGATGAAACTAAATGGGTTCTCTGGATAAGGAATATATGGGAGTTCTTTGTGCTATTCTTTGCAGCTTTTCTAAAAATTTGAAAATGTTTCAAAATAAAACTTAAAAATCACTTCTGCAAATGAACAGGTTTCACAGCTACACTTTAATTAAGCATACTATAAAAGATGGCCGTAAGTTAGTTAATTGATACAAAACAAAAATGGAGGTTATGCCCCTGAAACTAATGTTATACATCAATTATATCTCAACCTTTTAAAAAATGCAATGTTGGAAGAAAGGAGAGTTTAAAACTTCTCTATAGACTTAACATTCCTAATAGGTACCATTTTTCTTGTATTTTTCAAGAAGTAACACACGTATTCTGCTTCAATACCTCCTAGTCAAATATACATTTGAAGACAAGTACTACATGTGCTTTCATATCTCAGAAACTCCAAAGATACAAAAACTCTTCAAGTACATCAAGGAAAAAAAGTCGTTAATGGCAAAAGTAATCACATAGTAATTATTTTGCACTCTGTAATGTAAAACAAAAGCAATCCTGTATCAGATGGTAAGAGTAAACTAAGGACAGCCAAGTATTGATATTTGCAATTCCCAAAACTATAATTCTGAAAAGATGACCATACTTACTTCAACTCCCTCCCCCCCACCCCCGAAAAAGCATAACTTATTAAATTGGTTGGTCAGATAACAAAACTGCAAAGATAATACTTGGTCAACAGCCACTCAAAGTGATGCTGTAGAAGTATACTGACATAAAAAATTCACAAGTGAAAAACCTGGTCTATGGACAGTAGGGATCCATTTGTGTATTTTTACATATGTACAAACAAAAACGTGACAGAAAAGATTAGGAAGTGATATCACAAAATACAATAGTTATCTCTGAAGGTGTGATTATGAGAGATTTTTATTTTCTTCCTTTTCTTAAAAGTATTTTGTGATTACTCCAACATGTGTATTATTTCTTTTTTTTTTAAACATCTTTATTGGAGTATAATTGCTTTACATTGTTGTTAGTTGCCGTTGTATAACAAAGTGAATCAACTAGTATTATTCTTACACTAAAAATAAAAGTCAAAAATAATCTTAAAGTATTATTTAAATTTAAAGGTTTCTATTTTCTCTTCCACCATTATATTCCTGATGACCCTTAGAAAGCAGTCCTCACAGTATGAGATATTAATACCTGGTCATGAAAGACTTCTCTTAAAAACAAGGCCTATATGAATACCACCTTTTTATATAATTTTATCAATTAGATATAAGGTAATATGAGGTAGGTTCTCTGGATCTAGACTGCCAGGATTCAAATCCCAGCGACCCCACTGACTAGCTACATAATTTGAACAAATTATTTAACATCTCTTTGCCAGTTTCTTCATCTGTAAAAATGGGGTTCCTGCTAGTTATTAAATTGAGTTACTTATCTAAAGCATTTGGTGTCTGGCACATGGTAAGCACTTAGCAGGCTATTTTTATTATTAATTTCTTTTACAGGTGAGGATATTGAAGCACTAAAATCAGTTGAATCATCTGCCTGAAAACAAAGATGCTGGTATGGGGGACGGGGTGGGGGGAGGTGTTTGGAGGAAAGAAGGAGGTAAGAGAGAAGAGAGAAGTAGAAGAAGGAGACAGAGAGAGACACATATAAACACAGCTAAAACCCTGTGTCCCCTTTCCCAAATTGCTATTCTTCTGAAAACACAAATGGCAGCTGTCTAGCATAATGTTCAATAAATATTTCCTTCCTTCCCCAACCTCTTTGTTTCTTCCTATACAGAAACAGACCTGGTTTATATTCATTCTCATTCCTAAATCACCTTCCTACAAACTTCTGTTTTAAAGTTAATTGTATTTGTTCTAGCTCTGTTCCAACCAAGCAGTCTTACATTAGGAAATTACACCTTGGTTTTTTCCTAGTCAAATGTTTCTGTGGAATTCCATGTCAGAAGAGACTTGCAATCTAAAAATGCTAGAAACATAGAGAACACTCTATATATTTTTTGAATGACTGTTAAGAACTCACTCTGATCCTAAATCTCCCTCAATTTTATATGCATAAAATGTCAGGAGAGGAAAAACCCTAAGTCAAGAGACCTGTGTTCCAATTCTACCCAGGCCAATAATTAGGCCAGTAACGTGAGGTTGGTGATTTTGCCGCTTTAGCAAAAAAGAGAGGAGTAAGCTGTGTTACTGATAGACCCCATCTAGCTCCCAAATTCTACAGCCTCTTGAACAAACCTGAAAATGGAGAATTCACAGGCAATTTCATGCCCCCATGATGTTTCCTCTAACTGAAATCTCCCATTTCCCCTTACCCTTTTAGAGAACTCTTGTTATACCTTCCATTAACTATCCATCACTTCTTCCATGAAATCTTCCCTCTGTTCAAATAGAACACTCTGTATTCTTTGGACCCCTATGCTTGTATTGCGTCTATTACAGATGACTGTTTATACACTGTCTACCATTTCTAGAGTCTCACATCTTGCACAATGCCTAGCACACAGAAGGTACTATGGATGTGTTTAAAGATTTGAGTCTATAAAGTTAAATTAGGTTCCTGTGAAGTTTTTGTATGCACTATCTGGGAGTTTAGCTTAATCTGAAGACACACACAGGCCAATATGCAGCACAACCAAAGGTTTGTCCCAGTTAGAATCAAAGCAGTGCAAATTTATTCTGAACCAGTGCCTACACCAGTGCCTGCACAATGAATGATGTTTTTTATTTCGTTTTTGTTTTGTTTTGTTTTTTGCAGTACACGGGGCTCTCACTGCTGTGGCCTCTCCCGTTACGGAGCACAGGCTCCGGACACGCAGGCTCAGCGGCCATGGCTCATGGGCCCAGCTGCTCCACGGCATGTGGGATCTTCCCGGACCGGGGCACGAACCTGTGTCCCCTGCATCGGCAGGCGGACTCTCAACCACTGCGCCACCAGGGAAGCCCTGAATGATGTTTTTTAAATCAATAATTCTTTTCTTCTATCTTAAAGCCCTCAAGAGTTATGAGTCATCAACTTCATAACCCTATCTCACATTGCCCTTATTTTTGCAGTTTCATCCACTTATAGCCGCTTTACAAATAAGCTTCCAAGAACTGGAGAGAAATATTTGTATTTAACTCCTAAACTGCAACTCTTATTTTCTCTGCTTATCTGTTGGTACAGAAATAAGATTCAGGAAATTATACCAAATAATAGATAACCAAAACTTTGTTCTTTCACTTCTGGTAATAATTATTTCTACTTACGAGGTGTTCACTTCAGATTTTAAACTATCAGTGGACAAAAATCAAAACCAAAAATATTAGATTAACTTTTTTGGACTGTCAAGCAGCACACGGGCAAAATATCTTGAGAATTTATTAACTGCTACGTGTGACCTGACTGAAAAATTGTGTTCCAAATAGTACAAACCCTCTAATGTGCTATCCACATTAGTTATGGCAAGATTCTTCTTATGCAGCTAATACGCTTCAGGATAATGAACTTATCCATTACATTTCTGTAATTATTACTGAGCCATGGAAAAGCAGGATACTATTGTATTTATATTCAGAAAATACCACCCAAACCTTCTCTATCCCCTAGTTTCAGCCAAATATGGTTCTTCCCTGCTTCAAACAATTTTAGCTATGAGTTCCAAGAGACACAGGCCCATCAGAAGCAGTCAAGGACATATCTAGACAGCTTTTTTCAAAGACAGCTTTTAAATTCTTGAAAAAATCAAAAAACAGCAATGCAAAAAATACTCAAGATGAGAAGTTTCAAGTGGAGATGCTTGGCTATCTTGATTCAAACTAAAATAGGAAGCAAAGACGTTTATGAAATCACTCAGTCCTCTCATCTAGTACTACCTATCTGACAAACTCAGAATCAACTTCTAGGATGAGCCTAAGAAAGAGGTTTCATAAACTCAAATGTGTTAGGCAGGTTGACACAAGCCAGGCAACCCCTGTGCATATTAGAAATGTTAGCAAGTCCACCTGCCGGTTAGCCTCTGTGATGGCTCAGTTTTGCTTAAACACCCTAAAAAGGATTAACATTCTAGATATAAGCTTGTGAAAATAAGGGTTAATTAAATTCTCAGGATTCAGGTGCCAATGTGATGACGAAAAATTATGGGAGGTGGGGAAAGAAGAAAATCTTTAAATGCTAATTTTCTCCACAACGGTAAAGGAGCATATGGGGTGGGTTTCAATCTCCGAGTTTTTATTAGCTTTCTAACCACAGATTAAACAGAGGTGAATCACAGCGAAGCCTTCAAAAGAGTAATTTCCCAGGGTGTAAGGTCCTGTTTTCGGAGGACCTGAGGCTTGTCTGCTGCCACCATACTCCCATCCGGCCACCCCATCTTTCTGCCCATCCCCCTCAACTCGTCTGCAATAAACGATAAGGGAAATAATGACGAGCACTAAATGTGACGTTGAGTTGGCATTTACAAATGATTTGCAAAACAACTCCCTAATCAACCCACGGCACACTACCCAGACCCTATATGGTGGTTGTCTAAAAAGATAGAGCCCATACTCTTCAGGGGAGCACGCTGGGAGGAGGGGCGCCTCGGGAAAGCAAGGCGCTCCAGTCCCCAAGACCCCAGGTTGTCACCAGAGGATCCTGACGCGCAAGCAGCCGCGTTGTGTAAAATCCACAAGACTTGTCACCCCAACTTCCCACTCCTAAAACCTAAGTGGGGGATGAAAAGGATCCTAGGGTGACAGAAGAAAGTAGAAGCTCTATCTTCTGTGCTTGGGATCCAGAAATAAAAGCAATGAACAGGGGAGACGGAGGCAGACGACCGGGCACGCGTCGGATACGGGTCTTGCGGAAGAGTGGGAGGTATCTATATAGAGCGCGCAAACAAACAAACAAACGCAAGAGAAGAGCGAGAGGAAAGGTTGGGGTGATGGAGAAATGCGGGCGCGGGCATCGGGGTGTGTCGGGACTTGGGGTCCGGGGAGAAAGAGAGCCTCCTTGGGGGCCGGAGGATTCCCCGCCTGCTCGAAGCGGGCCGGGGAGGCGGCGGCGGTCAGGCAACGCGAGCATTCGGGGCAGGTTCCCCGAGACCTGGTGGGTGGGAACGCCCGGGTCAAGCAGCTAGGGGCAAAGCTGGGAGAAGGGTGGGGGACCCGCGGCCCAGGTCTCCTGAACAAAGCCGGTGCGCGCTGGGCCTGGCTACTCACAACAAGAAGCTCATGTCGGCCGTGGCGTGGGCTGCGGGCTCGGCGGTCGCGAGGCCTCGGGGTGGCGGCGACGTCGGCGGCCAGGCAAGGAGAAGAAGGAGAAGGAGGAGAGGATGAGGAGGCGGGGAGCGCCGGCTGCTCGGCGGCCGCAACTTGTTCGGCTTTGCTAGTTCCAATGGCTGGCAGAGGGTGCGGAAGTGGGAAGCGCAAGGCTTGAATCACTCAGTGGGAGGAGAAGCAAAAAGGGGCGGAGAAAGGGCCACTCGCCTCCTCCACAGAGAACAACAACCGCGACCGCAGTGCTGCTCCCCCGGCACTTCGTCTCCATCCCCTCGCTGCCCCTACCCCGTGAGCTCTCGCGAGAGCGGCGCGCGCCCACCCTGCCCCTCCCGTTGCGACCCCGGGTCCCCTACTTTCTGGACACCTTTGCAGCCCCGGGCCACGCCCCGCATGTGTGCTGGGGCCACCCGTTTGGTCGAGGCCAGTCCACCCGGTTGGGGGTCGTGGCAGAGCCCTCCGAGCTGCTTAGCTGGGTTTCAGCGGTCAGGAAGGAAATTGGCTGCAACTCTGGGATGTCAGAGTCCTGCAGTGAGGGATGGAATTGCCACCAGAGTTCTGCCCACTGTGAGTGCCCAGATGAAATGTTATGGAATCTCTCTGCTACGTATGTAAAACCAGGAGTGAGTTTCATCTGGTTGGAATGGTTTGGGTGTGGTTCCGCCAGAAGAGAGGAAAGGATCTAAATGGGCTTTCAAGGCCCCTGTCGTCTTATGGGCATGTTTTAAAACCCTAAACAAGGAGATGGTTAGGGTCCATCACTGTCTGAACAGGCAAGTGAGGCTGTCAGCAGCAGCTGGGAAAACTGCTGTGGTGACATATCCAAGTTATATGGAGCAAATAGATTATAAAGCCTTGCCCTGGGCCCCTTAACTATGTGAAATGCAAGTCCTTCTACAAGGGGGTACTGAATTCTTTCTAGCTTCTAAAATGTTTTGTGCATCAGAGTGCTCAGTGGCTATAATGGACTTGAGCCCCATAAATGCTTAATCAGCGTTGCCACCAGCCCACCACAGCATTATCGATTTGGGTACCGATTTATTTTACGAAGAGATGTCCATCTTCTTTACTCACAACACCCGTCAAATCTACAAGTAACTTTTTCAAAGAATCTTAACAAAATTTAAATTCTGTGCAGCTAGTAACCCACCTTGGGCTAATAGACTTGAAGGAGGTGCCAATATGAAATGTGTTCTGTTGAGTTTATGTACTATTAGTTTGGCATGTTAGTAAATCAAACCATTTTTTAAAACAAGAAAATATTGAAGTGTTGATACTATCTCAGGAACAGCAGAGGTCACTGGAATAATTTGAAAAGACTTAAGGCTCCAAAGGTGCTGGAAAGGAGGGAGAAGGAAGTGTTATCTTACTATACTGAAAATCATGGACTTATGACATAAAAGCCCTGTGTTCCAGATTTTGATATGATAAAGATTTAATATACAATTCCGTAAGGGTCTTCTGACAATGACTTGAATGACCAGATTAGGATATTATCTTTTATTTTGGGAAAAGTAAGTCTGTAAACCTGTTAGAACAACAGTTTCACCCCCTTTAAAATGAGCGCTTTGGATTATTACATGATCTCTAAGATATCTTCCAGTTCTAAAATTCTGTCATGCCAGGGACATCCTTTAGATTACTGGCAGACAATTTCCATCTGCTCCCTGGTTTGGTAGGCTGGCTTATGTATGCTTTTGGTCTAACTAAATTTAAATGAATCCTATGACTCTTGAGTCAGGGCGATGATGGGGAGAGGACAGAATCTGCAAAACTACTGAGTTCTTTATCATACCAGTAGGAGAATTGCCTGAAATTAACAGCTGATAAAACATAAATGTATTGGTCATAAAAATGAGAGAGGTGTCATGTTAATAATACAAAATATAATTTCAGAGGTTAGACATTTAAATCAAACAATGACTGTCACTTAAAATTATTCAGCACTTAAAAATATTGGGCAGTTTAGAATCAAAGAGAGACTATATTCAAATAGAGATTTCTAATTCCATGTTCTTCTTCACCAATCCAAATTTCATATCACTCTCTTCCTAAAATTTCAATTTCAAGAAGTTACTCTCCTAATCAAAATCTTATTTTGTTTATGAAGCAAGATTATTAAAATTTATATTCTATGGGGCTTCCCTGGTGGCGCAGTGGTTGAGAGTCCACCTGCCGATGCAGGGGACATGGGTCCGTGCCCCAATCCGGGAAGATCCTACATGCCGTGGAGCGGCTGGGCCCGTGAGCCATGGCCGCTGAGCCTGGGCGTCCGGAGCCTGTGCTCCGCAACGGGAAAGGCCACAACAGTGAGAGGCCCACGTACCGCAAAAAAAAAAAAAAAAAAAATTTATATTCTATCCACCAGTTTCTCAAAGAAGTGGAATTATAACATGAATAGAATAGAACAGAATGTGAGTGGGTATATGCCTTCACATACCTTTAAATATTCATTCAAGTTAATTTCTTATCATAATAAACAAGTAAGTATATTTATATAAATGTAAACAAACAAGATAATTAGAAATTGTGGTAAGGTATAAAATAAACTGAATAATGTGACAGAGAGTAGTGGTGAAGTAAGATCTAATTTAGATTGAGTGGTTAAGAAAGGCCTCTCTAAAGAGGTGAAGTTTTGCTGAGACCTGAAGGAAGAAGAAGGAGCCAGCCTTGCAAAGAGCTAGGGAATGATCATTTTCTGGTAGAGGGGATAAAAAGTACAAATGCTCTAAGATAAGAAAGAGCTTAAAGGGTTCTCAGAACTGACAGGTTATGGCCTGGGCAGCCTGAGCAAGAAGAGTGGCATCAGATAAAGCTGGACATGTAGACTGAGGGCTGGCTGGGGCTCACAGCCATCTGGTTTTATTTTAAGAACATAGAGGAGTCAGCCGAGAAGTAAAATAGTAAGAAGTTAAGATAAATAATCAGAATAACATTTTATTTTTTTAATTTGGAAAATTTCAAACACATAAAGAGGGGAAGAAATTAGTATAATGAATCCATCACACAGCTTCAACAATTATCAGCTCATGATCCTTGATTAACATTTTAGAAAGATCACTCTCCCTTCTTGTGGAGAATGTTCCGGAGGAGGCCAACATGTCAGCAGGGATGCCAGAAGACTTATTGTAATAGCACAATTGTTTCTCAACAGCTGTGACTTGGTTTAGGGTGGTGTCATTAATAATAGAAAGAAGAAGTTAATAATCTCAAAATGAACAGCACTTGGTGATTCATTGATTATAGGGATTGGAGAAAAGAAGGAATCAAAGACTACTCCTGTCATTTTGGCTTTAGTAACTGGTGGATGGTACTGCCGTTTAGTAAAATAGGGAAGATCTGAGTCACAATTTTGAGGTGAAACTAAAAGTTCCATGTTAGATATGTTAACTCTGAAATGTCTTTTAGACATCAAAGTTGCCATGTCAGGTAGAGTTTTTTTTTTTTTTTTTTCAGGTAGAGTTGACAGCTGTGCAAAGTCTGGGGAGAGATCTGAACAGGAGATAAGAATGCAGGACACCTCAGTAAGTAAATATTGATAGTATTCAAAGCCTTAAGGTGGGCTTCCAAATAGGAATTTATATGCCAGATAAGAACAGACTTAGCAAAGTGTTACCTTTAAGCGTCTGTGTTTCTTTCTTCTCTTCCCAGATATCTCAGGTTTTTGATCACCATTTACTTCCTCTCCTTCAGTTGCAGTTATATTCTCCCTTTCCTTCAAGGTGAGGGTTTCTACAATCATAAAGAAAATGATTCATCGCATCTTTTTATAGGATAAGTTAGTCACTGCCAATGTGTTAATTAATATGTTACCCTTCTCCAAGAAAACAACAGCAGGTAAAGCCAAATTTCCAAGTAGTAGATCAGGGGAAATTTCTCCTTATAGAAGTATTTCAGTTAAAAATAATGAAATAGAGGGACTTCTCCGGTGACGCAGTGGTTAAGAATCCACCAGCCAATGCAGGGGACACAGGTTCGATCCCTGGTCTGGGAAGATCCCACATGCCGCGGAGCAGCTAAGCCCCTGCGCCACAGCTACTGAGCCTGCACTCTAGAGCCCGTGAGCCGCAACTACTGAGCTTGCGTGCTGCAATTACTGAAGCCCGCGCGCCTAGAGCCTATGCTCCACAGCAAAAGCCACTGCAATGAGAAGCCCACGCACCGCAACAAAGAGTAGCCCCCGCTCACGTAGCCCCCGCTCACGGCAACTAGAGAAAGCCTGTACACAGCAACGAAGACCCAACACAGCCAAAAAAAAATAAAAATGAAAGAAATAGGAATGATTGAATTATTATTAGAATATCACTATTTTTGCAACCCCCTAATGGATTAATGGATCTAGACATTGATCACCAATGGCTGCTAGTATCACAAGAGAGACAACCACACTTTATGTGTGTCCTGATGGAAGACTATATCGTCACCTGTGAAGAAGTCTTGCCAACAAAATAGAACCTGAATCTGATCAAGCCTCTATATCAGATTTATCAAATTACAGGAAATGTAGGGCACAGAAGAATATGGTAAAGAACATGTTAAATGACTCAACAGGGATGCAAGCAGCAAATCCAAACAGTGGGGAAAATATGCAGGACCTAATTTCTTCAACAAATGAATTGCAAGAAATAAATAGAGCTGAAGGAGAGACATAGAGGTTGAAAGATAAGAGACATATCATCCAGCTGTAACGTGTACAGTCATTTGCATCTCGATTCAAATAAGCAGTCTGAAAAAGAACAATAGCATATGTTTATGTCATTTATAGACAACCAAAAAATTTAAACATTGGATATTTGATGTTACTAAGGACTAATTATTATTTGTAGTGATGATGTTGTGGCTGTGTTTTTTGAGTCCTTATTTTTTAGAAATATGTACTGAAATAATTGCAGATGAAATAATATGCCTGGGATTTGCTTCAGAATAGTGTGTGAGGGGGAAAGGAAGTAGGAGTATAGATGAAGTGAGTTAGTAATTGTCAAAACCAGGTGATGAGTACATGAGGATCATTATACTGTGCTGACTACTTCTGTTTAGTTTTGAAATTTTCCATAATAAAAAGAAAACAAACCAATAGCAGGTCTCATTTTGAAAAGGCCTAGAAAAAGTGTTACTATTAATGGGGTTTTAAATGTTTAGTATAGAAGATGAGTTTTCGGACTAAGGAGTTCTTTCCTTGCCTTCACATTAGCTAGCTTTTTCTACATATATATATATAAATGTTCTTTTACCTGTAAAACTAAAAGCAAATATTCCTAATGCCAGAGAGAAGAAATGCAGAATTCAAACCCTGTAGCTAAATCTGAGCCTCAGTATTTCTTGAGTAGCTGTTCTCTTCTGATTCAGTAATGTGATCTGACTCTGAAAGAATAGATACCTGAACAACAAACATGAGATAAAGTATACCGGGCAACAAATCTTTAGTAACCTGATAAAATGCATTCCGTTGTGCAGGAGTGTTTGGGTTACATAATATCTAGATTGATGTGGTAATTATTCCATCTAATTAGTTTATTACATATTATTTTTGCTTTTATAACTACCATTTTTTGATTATTCCCGATGGGCCAATCACTCTGCTAAGCTTTTTGTATATTTTATCTCTGTTTTATTTATTTCTTACACTTGCCCATGAGGTTGATATTAGCTGTTATTCCCTCTTTTATAGATAAGGAAACTAATGCTGAGAGGTTTTGTATGTAACTTGCTCAAGATCACATAGCTCGTAAGTACAATCTGAATTCAGTAAAGTCCATTTCTTTCCCCCGCTTCCCAGGATGACCTAAATTAGAATGAATATATTCTAAAGGAATTTTGGCATGCTACACGATCCCATTTAACATAGCTAACAATTCAACCTGATCCTTATCAATGGACTTTAGATTTTAATTCTATATCTTCATTAAAGACAAACCAATTAATGGTTATAAATGCTTCTCAAGGACATATTATTTTTTTTAACATCGGTATTGGAGTATAATTGCTTTACAATGTTGTGTTAGTTTCTGCTGTATAACAAAGTGAATCAGCTATATGTATATATATATACATATACATATATACATATATATACATATATACATGTATATATATATATCCCCATATTCCCTCCCTCTTGCGTCTCCCTCCCACCCTCCCTATCCCACCCGTCTAGGTGGTCACAAAGCACCGAGCTGATCTCCCCATGCGATGCAGCTGCTTCCCACTAGCTACCTGTTTTACATTTAGTTGTGTATATATGTCAATGCTACTCTCTCACTTTGTCCCCACTTACCCTTCCCCCTCCCCGTGTCCTCAAGTCCATTCTCTACGTCTGCATCTTTATTTCAAGGACATATTATTTTAATGTAATAGAAAAGAATGGAAGTATTAAAGGTTGTTTGTAAAGGTTGGTGTCTCTCAATGCGTTCATTTATCACCAAAAAACATAGAGCATCAAAACACATTATAATGTGTTACAGTGGAAGAAGGATCTTCCATTGATCCCAAACTGAAAACAGTACCCTCACTTTCAAGATGTTCATTCCTTTGAAGGTGAATTTTGTGCAATAGGATGCTAGATTTAAGGGAATGATGAGGTGAAAATCATTCATTTATCAACTCAACAAGTATTTGTTGTCTATTATGGGCCTCTGTGAGCAAAAAAGCAAGGATGTAGTCACTGCCATTACGAATCCTATGGATCATTGAGAAATACAGGCAAACAAAGAAAAGCAAAATTAGAAATTGTGTGTCAGGAAGGAAAGGTCCATGTTGTATGTGAGTGTATTACAGGAACCTCACCTATTTTGGTGGTCAGAGAATTGGATCCTATGCATTCAGAAGTAAATAGTATGTATTTACTCCTTGCACTTAAATTATTGAGAGATATATATATATATATATATATAAACAGCATAATTTAATAAAACTTCTATCTCCCCACTCATCATTGCCAAACCATTTTGGTGTCTTAAAGCACCATGATATGGACTTCCCTGGTGGCGCAGTGGTTAAGAATCCGCCTGCCAACGCAGGGGACACGGGTTCGAGTCCTGGTCCGCAAAGATCCCACATGTCTCGGAGCAACTAAGCCTGTGCACCACAACTACTGAGTCTGAGCTCTAGAGCCCGCGAGTCACAACTGCTGAGCCCACATGCCACAACTACTGAAGCCCGCGTGCCTAGAGCCTATGCTCCGCAACAGGAGAAGCCACCACAATGAGAAGCACTTGCACCTCAACAAAGACTGGAGAAAGCCTGCGTGCAGCAACAAAGACCCAAAGCAGCCAAAAATAAAAATAAAAACACTGTGATATAGAAATTTATTTTTGTTTGTGAGAAGCCAGTCTTTTAGAACTTTTCTGAAAATGCTACTTTGAGTATAATGTTGAAGATCTTAGTAATAGGACAAACATCCTAGAAGATTTCTTACATGGGCCTTCGACTTGCTCAATAAATGTTGAATTTCTTGATCTGTCAAATTTACCCTGGTTTATAATTAATTAATTGTTTTTCCCATTAAACTTAAACCATGTAGCCACTTTTCCAGTCAGCTGTATGGGGAGAAGGAGGAAGGCTCCTTTTGAACCTATTCAGAGCTGCTTTTCCCCAGTTGATGGTACATTGCCAAGGTCAGAAAGCCTAAAATTAATTCCACCAGCAGTGTTTAGGTTTGCTTCCTATAGCACATGGACTCAGGGGGCTCAGTCTGCTGGGCCTGCTTGCTGCTTCAATCTACCGTGCTCTTAAAAGTTTGTTTGCCTGGAGTGCATGTTGTGCACAAGATGTGGTAACTAAGCAGCTTGAAAGTATGTGGGGACTAAGCAAATAAGTCTCTCCTTTAATCTCAAAAAAACCTAGCAACAATGTTGGGGGGAGGGGGGTGGGGGATGGAGGAGTCCCTACTGAGTACGTCAGTTGAGAGGCTTAACTTTTAACCTAGCTGAAGTTTCCCAGAGAGCAGGCTGCTGACGTGCTGTCAAAGACCAAGAGATGATGATGCAGTTTCAAGGAGTCTAAGTTTTTAGCCCACCCATCTCCATGAGGTCCTTTAGCATGAAGGACCATATATAGACATAGAGAGTATCCCAACTGGCTGCAACTTAAAAATATCCTAAGGATCAGCAGCTGTTACTTTCACCCACAGAAATTCACAGTTGGCTTAATTAAATTGCGCCTGTTCTCAAGCGCTGCAACCCTTTGGGTTGTGCCCTAGGTGCTTATGCTGCCTCCCCCATCTCCATTCCCTTCCTCAGAGTAACTTAAAGCAGAATGGATGAATGAAAGAGATCACCTTATGAGCGGTTCAAGGTTTGCATCAATATAAATAATGAAATGTGGAAGTCAGATCTTGAATCCCTGCCTAGACAACCACTGGACTTCAGGGACCCTAAGTGGCCCCTAGCCTTGGCCATTTGTTCTCTCTTGCCCGTGGCTGCTCCCACACCCTCTTCTTGGCATCTGTCTCGTGTTTTCCATAGTTGTCATAGTCACAACCACAGCAACCTGAGCAGACCACAATCCTCTTATAGCTGGAGACATGAGCTACTGCTTTACACGATATAATTCCCCTGCCCTGCACCAATAGGAATCTGGTCCCAGATAGTCAAACCATTTGTTTTTCCTCAGGAGAAATATTCCAACTCTCCCAGAATATGACTGTCCTTAAGGTCTATATGGCATCAGGGCAGCCAGGAAGCAACTACAGAGAAGACGACCAAGATTATCAGTCCCACCTTGAAATTTGACCAGGTATATCCAGATCCCTTATTTATATAGGCTGTACTCTGTGTTTCCACACCAATCATTCCATTTGAGTATAGGACAAAGATTTAGTAAAATAAAACCATAGTGGGCAGGCAGATTTCCTATCCAAAATAGAGCTTTTAAAGGAAGTAATCTTGTAATGTACTCCTTAAGGGATAAGGAGTGAGATCTTCCTGGAGCCCTGCAGGATAAAGGACCACTTATAAGAATCAATGAGTCAGTAACATTTTTTGAAGATCTACCATAAACCAGTTACCCATGCTAAGGGTGAAGATACAAAAGCAAGGTGCAACGTTACCACACTCAGGGAGCTCATTTCTAGTGGCAGAGACTGACTTATAAACAAATAATTGCAGCACGAAACCATCCCTCTTATAACAGGATTATATGCAAAGGACTACAGGAGCCCAGCTAGTGAAAGTGTTAATTTGAGGAGGAAGATAGGGTCCAAGAGAGTTTTACCCAAAAAGCAAGTCTTAAAGGGTTAGTAGACTTTCTCCAGGTAAGGAACAGGTGATGGAGGAGTAAGAGGCAGACAATGGCATTGCAGAAAGATGATGTAGCACGTGTAAATCCCAGAGTCATGAAAAAAATACATGTATAGGCAAAGGAATTGTTGACTGCTACAACCATTTACACCTTAGTATGAACCCTTATTCATTCGACAAATATTTATTAAGCACTAACTATATGCTAGTTACTTATGTAAGCATTGGAGATATAGTAGGGTACAAAACTAAGTCCCTACCCCCAGGATGTTTACATTCTAGTGAGGAGGAGATATTCTGAATTTGTCAGTATTACCTCTCTAGTTGTATTTGCATTTTAATTATCCCTGATTATAGCATGAAATCTCAAGCCTTATTAAAGGAAAATTTTAGAAGAATAAAGGTATCAGGAATCAAGTAGGGAAGAAATTTTAGAGTCAAAATTCTGAAAACAAAAGCAGACAATAGTTCCAATGCTCATTTGAACTCCACTTCAGCTGATATCACAGAATCACAAATCCATTCCAGTAGGAGGTGCTGTGAATATTTAAAATACAGCCTTTAGCCATAAACTCAATGGCTGTGTGGCCAAATGGCAGGCCTAAAATTGGAGCAGGTGTGTGTGTGTTTAGAAATTAGGATGGATCCACTACTGTGTTCCCGGGAACAAAGCCTTTTTCTCTCCTTGTTCTTTCCTCCCTCTGGTAACCTCCAGGGACCTGTGTCATCTATCAGAGTCACTGTCTCAGGGCTGTCATGCTTGCAAATTCCATAACTCTTCCCCAGATCATCAACAACCTTCACAGGAGCTGGGGGCAGGGAGGAAGGTGTTGGCTACACAGCGTGGCTCAAAAGGCCAGTTCCTCCCAGGAGGCCTCAGTGGTTATTCTGGATAAAGCAGCTCTTTGTTCCCTGTGGTACTCTGGAGCCAACTGTGGCTGCCTGTCCTGCCATGGCTCTTAGAGAGCTTGTATAATCATGGAAGCATATGAGAATCTAAGCCAGTGCTGGAAAGGAACCACAGAATCTTCGGGAAATGAGAGGAACTAATATTTATTTTCTGTTGTATAATTTTCTGCCAGTATCTTGCAAAGCTCTTTATATCTCACTTAATTCTCACTACAACCTTATGAGGCAGATGTTACTGTCTCAGTTCTCTGGATGAGGATATTAAATCATATCTAATATACGTAATACCAGTAATAAGTAGTAGATCCAGAATTTGAACCTAGGTCTATCTATTTCATGGGGAATCAAAACATCCTAGAGCTTTGTATATTTAAAGAGTTGGGATTTTAGGTAGTACACAAACACAGCATTATATAATATTGAATTACATAATAGGGAAGTTGTCACCTTTAAATTCATTTCCATTTCTTCTGATTATATCAAAAAGAAAGTCTTGGTTTGATGCTAGTATGTCTTTAACACCTCTCTAACACTTAGCCTCCCTTTTTATAAAAGAGCCCCAGGCTTTAGACCCAGAGACTTCAGCAGGCAGCAATATCTAGCTAGAGCCTAATAGTATTTTGCTCTAATTGAATTTATTTACATGTTCTTCTGCTACATGAGACACATAATACCGGTTTTCGGGCTTCCCTGGTGGCTCAGTGGTTAAGAATCCACCTGCCAATGCAGGGGACACGGGTTCGAGCCCTGGTCCGGGAAGATCCCACATGCTGCAGAGCAACTAAGCCTGTGCGCCACAACTACTGACCTCGTGTGCCACAGCTACTGAAGCCCGCGTGCCTACAGCCCATGCTCTGCGACAAGAGAAGCCA